AGAAGACCATGTTAATCTGTCAATCTGATTGCAAGAGTCCCTTCGGTGTTGGCTCGATCAACGTAGGACGACAGTTTCATTGGAAATGAGTGCTCAGTTTCTAGGACCCGCTGAACGGCTTTGGGCGGGTCTAGAAACTTATTTTTTTCCAAATATCTTTCTCGACTTTTCCATATATCTATCTCGACACATTTTCCATATATCTATCTCGACACATTTTCCATATATCTATCTCGACACATTTTCTATATATGTGTCTACGTTGATTTTGACGTTGAAGTGCTAACGGATGCAATCAATTAACAAACTTTTCAAGTACCCTAATTTTTGATAACGCTCCATATTCACATGATTAATAACCAAAGAAGAGGGCTTATTACAGGTGAAAGGTGCCACTTTACGCTTTGGTATACAAGTCTAGAGTTGAGTTACAAACCGCTTTCACTGTCATAGAAAGTAAAAATTTAAAGAGTATTTGGTTTTAAGATGAAAATAAATAAATAAATTGATAAATAAATAAATAAATAAGCAAAATTGCTTCACAAATCAGAACCAAATAAACCACACGTGTCATTATTTTATAAGAAATATTAATCGACAACATGACACAAAAAGTCTAAAAATAAAATCACAAATTCTAATATTTCTTAACTGTGGCTTCTTGTTTTTAACAGAGTGAGCAATAAAAGTTTGGTAAAGATATCTTTGTATTAATTTTTTGCATGGGATTTAAATAAGACCATCCTCTTGAACAATCGTTGAATTAGTCAAGATAGTAGAGACGTTGTAATTACACATTTATTCGTGTGAATTCCAAGAAACGAGGAAACAAAACAAATTCAACGGCGCGGTAGGTAAAACTTGGCAGCCGAGTGCCACAAGCGCACAGGAAGTCAGTTTTAAGTGGGGTTGGGGGGAGCGGTATCCATTCAAATAAACTGGTTGGAAAATTGTTTTTAAAAAGTGCCCGCCCCCAGTCCTTAAAATCAAAGTCAACGGTTCAGATACCAGATCAGGATTTTCCCCCTTTTACTCATGAAATAAGTTCTTTTTGTTGAAATCATAATCACATCTTTTAGATGTGCAGAGAATGCAATTCCTCCTGTGAGGTTAGATATAGTTCGTGTTTTGTATTTCCAACTTCAGTACTTAGATGTCTCGCCGCACTTGCCGTTTTTTCTCCAAATACTGTGTCTATTTTCGTTTACAGCAGTCTTTTAATTGCGTGCATATATATATATATATATATATATATATATATATATATATATATATATATATATATATATATATTCCAACAGTCTTTTGTTCCGAGGGACTTTTGCTCCGTAGGACAGCTATTCCGAAGCCATAGAATTAAACATGCGCTGCATATACTGCTATCAAGAATTTGCTCTATATTTGAGAAATAGCAGCTAAAAGCGCCTCTCTGCACATGCAAGTAATAACACTGCGTTTAAGAGCAGTTATCCTATTTTCAGAACAGCGGGCCCTCAGACTAAAAATCATTCGGAATATTGGGCCTTCTAACCTTCGGAATATCGAACTCTTGGAACAGCGGTTGAATTTAGAACTTGGCTCCTACAGTCTTCGGAATATCGGATCCTCTAAACAATTAACCCTCGGAATATAAGGCGTACCCCGTTTAATCACAATCATAAAATCATAAGTGTTTTGGAAATAAATTCAAGAGCCAATAAAACTGTTCTCAGATGAAAAAATTAGATTTCAAAAAGCGGCAAATGATGTAAAAATATCAAGATTAGAAGATACACGGTAAGGTCTTCACGCGTGTAAAATTTCATTTAAGAATTTGTAAAATGTTGTAAATGGTAGTTCTAAGAAAAGAATACCCAGAATCACTACCAGATTTTTTCATCTCTGTGTAAAGTATCTTTGGAAAATTGACGGCATGATACAGAGGTCAACTCTGAGTTAAAAATGAGGCAGGGCGAGGCAAGGGAAAAATAATGTTACACAACTACACAGATCTAGAAAAATGTCCCTGCACTTGGATTTTTTAATAACATTTTTAATTAAGCACCATATGACTGACCAGTGATTTAGGCCATCATGTCTTTTACATATTTTAGAAGAAAATGTCAATATCAGGTACTTTTTAGGTTTTTAAACGTGTTTAATGTCTTAATTTGGAAAAAAGTAACATCGTAATATATGGACTTAGGAACATTTTCAAACGCGGATAGTATAGTATTGGTTCAGGGAAGAATGGGGGGGGGGGCAATGATTTTTATGGTTAACGTCTTTAAAAATATCTTCTTGGAATGCAATTAATGGTCTTTTGTTAATCTTAGGTGCAAACAAGCGACAACTATGTAATTAATGGAAAGCACAATTTCGCTGAATATCCGTTCTTCCCAATGAAAACAGCCCGATTTGCCCTTTACTTAGCATGATATTATTGTCCTGGCATTACCGCCTTTTTCTGTCTAAATATACCATCCACTTCATTAGTCACTTTGCCACCAGAAAAAGAATAGGGGTTCATTAACCCTAATCATACCGACATGTTTTGCGACATTTTGAGGTTATTTCCGACCCGATGAAATTATTAATGAAATACTGATATTTTTGGTAGCTACACAACAGAAGCTGCTTGGTAAATAATAATAAAAAGCATTGGAGAGCTACAATACTGTTCTATAGTAACCTTGGTATTTTATAATAATAATAATTTAAGGTAGTAATATATAATTTCTTTTAAATTGAAATTTTTCTTCATTTCCAGCCCTAGTTCTGATTGTATATCTAAACAAAGTAAGCACTCTGCATCCTTTCAGGCTCTCTTAACTGATTCTGAAACAAACACTATGCTAAAATATTTTTTCAAAAATAAAATAAATAAATAAATAAATATGTAGCAGGAAGAGGAGAGCAGATACCATATGATGACAGTTACCCTAGTTGTCCTTCCCAAAATTTGATATTTTTAACTTTTCAAAAATTTAATACTAAAATATCAGAAACAAATTCAAACAAAAAGAAGCTGCATTGCGTGACAAGGTCTAAGTAAAAAGGCTGTGTCACCGATATAATTTTATGACAGACACAAATTTAATAAAGGCTGCCACAGACCACCTTGTTACTGATGTAAGATTTGATGATTTTAGATTCAGTATTCATATACACACTAGTGTTCACCGTGAACTGGACAAACTGGTCACTGAGCATACCCTTTAGAAGGGCCACAGGTTGTTTTTTCACTTCATATTCAGTCTACCTTTCTTTTGTGTGAAGTGAGAATTTCTGTATGGAATTGATGCCATAACTCAACTGGCTTTAGTATACAGTAGTCTTTTAAGCTGCATTCACAACGAGAAGAGCCAAGGCTCAACAAAGCCGAGACCTAAATATGGCGGACATACATGAAAGAAAAACCGCCTAATCTTTTAATAGTCTCGCCGCCTCTCACACGCCTCCCCACGCGTCATCCCTGCGGGGGTACAGTCATTAAATCTCGGCTCCATTCCCCCAGAAGCTATCTGAGAAATGCGGCCTTAAAGGGATAGTAGTTGTGACTGGCTGTTGGAGTAGGCAGCCTGCTTCAGAAAATATTGTGTTGGTTTCCACACCAACCACAGGTATAAATCTCCTATCTGAAATCTCCTATCACAGGTATAAATCTCCTATCTGAAATCTCCTATCACAGGTATAAATCTCCTATCTGCTGAGAAGAGAGAGCAGCAGAATCATTAGTGCATTAAGGCCAAAAAGTGATTGATGGCAAAATATGTTTTATTTGCATGTTATAGTATAAAATGTTTTTTTTTTAATTATGAACCAGAGTCAATGAAAGCACCCTTTTTATAATAAAATCAAACATTTCAAGTTTATATCCTCGAATAACTTGGTCATTTCAATCAAACAAACAATTCTTTTCCCCCCAATGATGGATCATTAAATTGCACGTCAATCTACAGCCTTTTTAAACATTTAATAAAAAGGAAAGCCCTAACATTACTATTATTTGAAAAAGAAAATCATAAGATTGCAATAATACTAATGTAGACTACATCGCATCGCACTCCAGGAAGTGCCACCATTATGCGAAAATGTTAACATAAATATCATTTCAAAATGGTAAATACTCCCGATAATGGCAAAGGGGTTAAACTGTCCCTTGTCTCTAAATATAGTTTAAAAAAATTAACAATATCAATTCCTTAACAAAGTATACAAATTTACAAAGTATATAGAAAGCACAGTGTCCCAATCATCAACTTCCAACAACTGGTAAACACTTCATCTAATACCACTATCCAAAAGCTTTGAAATGTTGTGTGTGTGTGTGCATGTGTGTGTATGTGTGTGTGTGTATGTGTGTGTGTGTGTGTGCACCTGTGTGTGCCTGTCAAAAAGACTACATGTTTACATTACAATAAGTTTTCTTGTTCAAGCGATGGCACATGTTGATATAGTAAAAAAAGATGAATGGCTTATATCATCATTCTGCTATTCATGCTGACAATGACAAAAACTACCACTTACATATCTGATTGTCACATATATATCTTAGAACAACAAACCAACGGCTATAGGCTTTTTATGCTGGATACCACTAATGTAAAATGCAGTGAACCCCTCCCAATCAAGTATGAATTTAAATATTCTAATATGAAATATTTAACAAACAAAAGTGCGATCCATTAAGAAAACACTACAGTAACTTTAAACTGCTATCATAAAGAACCAAAAGGAATTAACTCAAATAAGGATTTGTAAAAGAACATTAATGACTAACACAATTTGCAACATCAGACTAGTACATGATTAGAAATGCGACAGTTTTTAATTCTCACTTGCCTCGTCTACACGTGTGTGAATTTCCCGAATTGGAAAATTCACATGCATCGACGACTATGGCCGACATGATAAGTACTTAAGAACTAACGGTGCTAAAAAAATATTCCCTCAAATTTACACGACCTCTTATAAAACTACCTTCACCGATTCTATCACAGATTAAGAAACATTCTCAGGTTGAAGAAAGTGAACACAAAACAAAAATTACAAAGTTCAATCTTTACTTAAATTAATTGTCATCGGGACTCACTTTATGGCTCGTATGTATCTGAGACTCTCAAAGGCATCATGCACTCTCAAGCTCGAATCCAAGATACCCTGGATAATAGTATTAACCAAACTACCTTCGATAAAATATGTTTCAAGAAAAAATGCAGGGAATGCTTGCTTTAGGCCAGTTGAAAAAAAAAGTTCTAAAAAAACTTAGATCTTAGAGGATTTCCTTGAACCTGGTTAAAAAAATTTGATCACCATTATAGCATGGAGATTGTGGAAGGCACCAGGAATATTAAAAGAAATTAACTATTGTTATGGGGTCAAAATTCTTTGCAAAGTATCTTATATACACAGTTTTAATATCTCAACGTCAATTGAGCTAAAAAAAAGGAACATATCTGCCAAAAACTAAAAGCTGTTTTGCTGTTTTATTGTGATTTTGAAATGTGATGGGCTGATAAAAACACAGGGGAGTTTTCATTTTCTTATTTCTACCTCCATGTTTCTCTTATTGAGAATCCTGCTTAACATTCACAAAGATAGCTTTTACTTTGAGATATACTAGAAAACCAAGTTTCTTCCACTAAGTATTTCATTAGATAAAGATTGCCGACATTTGGATGACATCAATAAACTAATATCTCATCTGGTAAATGAACTTCTAAAACTTATGTTTTGCATGATCGATCTGATAACACTAAATTGGCAACATCCAATAAATATGTCTCTCTGCAAGACAGATTCATACTTAGGTAGAACCATCAATCATTCTGACATTATGAGAAGAGCAAAAAATGAAAATCTAAGTTATGAAAAAAAAAAAAAAAACTTAGGTGAAGGAATAAGGTTATCTGATAACAGAGCCATTTTGGCCTCATCCAGGGGTGATGAGACCTAGTTCTGGGGTCCTTGAGATGGCCTTAATTAGATGATGTTGGTTGTACCTCCTCCTCCTCCAGAGAGTTGTGATTGTGTTCAGGTTCCTCCAGATTGCGGTAGGTGTTCCCTTGACAGGCACCACAGCACAGGCACCCCGCGCAACAAGAGAACAGTTTGTACAGTAACTGCTCTATGTTAGCCAGGGGCAGCTCTATCACAAGTAGGACGCCTATGGCACAGAAATACGTACAGCCCAGTACGGAGAAGTACAGGTACGACTGAAATCAAAAGAGAAACAATATACTATAAACATGATGAAGTGAGGGCAGGTTGGGGTGGGATAAGGTGGGTCTGGGTGGGATGGGGGGGGTCTATCATCTACCTACCCCCAAAATATGTGAAACGAAAATCTCTATGAAATTATGGCCTCTTTTGCTGGACAAATTTCACAAACAAACAAACTCTCAAACAAACTCTTTTTGCAAGTAAAAATCAACTTCGATTTTTCCGATGCTGGGAATTATCCAAAATAACCTAAAAGGATGCTGTCGGCATTGCATCACATCATACGCGACTAAAAAAATATGCAAGAATCCACGTGAGATGGCCTGAATTTTTTAGCGATAAGGATGAAACTGTACACATTGGGAAATTGTCTAAGATTATTAGAGAGTAATACAAAAGTTACACACAAAAAATTTGTGCTGATGTTCAAGTGACTGTCCTAAATAGAACTTAAGAAAAAAACAACTAGATAAATATTTGTGGATAAATTCTGCAAGCTTTGAAAAAAAACATTTCAAATTCTTTTTAATAGTCTCAGTTTCACTTTTTATCTACACTAGTTATTTCTGATAAACCTAGATGGCATGTTTTATTATTTTACACGTGCTGGGATGGTTTTGGAATGCTGTTTTAAAGAACTTTATTATCATTATTGCTTTTATTTATTCATGACTGCATGGCAACCACAGACCTGACATTTCTAACCCTGCTATTCTCCAATTCCTGGAAAATTTTGCCAAATTTTAAGCCAAATCACAAGATTTTAGGCTACTTGTACCTCAGTTCTATTCCCATTCCTGGGTGCAACTGTTCTGAAGCAGGTGCACTTGCACCTGCTATTTGCACTACAACATCCTCCCTTTTCCAAGAAAAGTGAAAATGAACAAACACAGGCCTAGGGCTCCTTCCCAATGAAACCATTGTTCTACCCTCATTCATCCATACACCCCCCCCCTTTGTTTCCAATGCACTCGAATAATCACCAGATTTTCTGTGCTCTACTCAATACCAGGAGGAGGCGTGTTAATCTGTTTAACTGACTGCATTCAGCGCGAGTCCCCATGGAGTTGGATCAATCTTTGTAGAACAATAGTTTCATTGGGAATGAGCCCTTAGTCACAAATCTGCTAATCCTAAAGGTGAAAAGGATTACCTGAACTAAATGGGTAATTAGTGTTTTTTCAATTTGTCTTAATGCCTTCCTGAGTACATATTCAGGATAAAACTTAATAATCATGACCTTTAGTTTAATATAACCTGGTTCTACCCTTCTCAATAAAATGTGGACCTTCTGTCATGTTTTTTTTTTAAACAAAATCTATACCAAACCTACAACACCTCTCTAGCTTTTGAGACCTTGGGCAATCTTGTTTGTTTCCCTTTTTTTGGTTTTATAGCAAAAATCCAGGTTAAAACAGCCACAAGTGCAGAAAATCCAGCCAATACCCACCATGACATTGTCTGTAATGTGGATAGGTTCTTGGAGAGTGAACAGGTACCACAGGATCACAATAGGATGGATGAGATAGGCAGCATAGGTCAGCCTGCCCAGGGGAACCCATACTCGCCAGGAGAGGAAGTCCTTAACGTAGCCTGGAATATAAAGATACGAATTGCGATACTGAACTGGAGGTGTGGCCATTTGTGTTGTTGTCTGTGTGTTTTTGTGGTGGTTGTAGTGGAGACTGATGGAGGGGGTGGGGTGGGGGGTGGGGTGGGGGGTGGGGGTTTAGTCAACAGTGCTTAGGTGTGTTCACAATGAAACTAATCTTACTCTGTGGGGACTCACACAGAATGCAATCAGATTAATTTTTTTATCTGATTGTATTCAGTTAGAGTCCCTGCGACCTTGGTTCAAATTACATAGTGCAATAGTTTCACTGTGAAAGCACTCCTTAAGTTTAGCAACAACAGGACTGAATAAAAAAGGCCTGGCGTTCAAGAGACCTATACACACCAAAAGATAAAATCTAAATATTAAGACTGATGAAAATAAGTTGAAGTCTTTATTTTCTTTTACTTTTTCTTAATTGCTCTCCAAGATAAAAGTAAAACATTTACATATTCCCACAAAACCCTGTCAACTAGAGTCTAAGGATCTGCTCAGTAGGATAAATATCAGCAGTCCAAGATTTTTATCCAATCATATCCCACCTCCATAACCATGGTAACAAGCATAAACAACCCAGGCCAGGGATAGGGCCCAGGCAAACTTGCTGAAGGTCCCATAGACCAGCTTCCCTCCCTGGTTCCACAGGTAGTCTCCATGATAGACACTGTAGGCCAGCACCGTGATATAAATACAAACAACAGCCAGTGCCACGGACACCAGCCAGCCTAAGGAGATTGTGATCTGGAAAAAAAAAATGTGTGTATGTGTGAAATGATAATATATAGCATATGGTATCTTGGTATGCCTAAAATTTCAAGAAAACCCTTTCCCTTTGCCCTCATTTTTATGCCCTCCATTTAAAAAAATATGTAGTCAAACACAGACCGCAAAAAATTATTCTGAGTTAAAAAACTGATTTTTTTCTAGGTTGTCAAAAAAGAAAGATTATTTTCAGAACTCAACTATTCAACCCACCATGGATATTCTCTTCCTGGCTCCCTTGAGCTGCTGTATAAAATAAGCCACCATCATCCCAACTAAGTAAGGCGCCACTCTTGTATACGGCTTCACGTACACGTCCGAGGAATATTTTTGAGTGGGAGGTTCATGGGTTCCATTGGCGTTCCTGTATAATATCCAAATACAGACATTTAACATTTGGCATCCTTACATTATGCGACTTTATGGTAACTGACACATATTTGCTAAGAATTACATAGGTACCACTGACATTCTTACATAACCCACCCCCAAGTATGGACATGCTATATGATCGGTCAATTTAGCACATGGCCAAATGCTGTCTTAGGTGCAGTGTTATCTAAGGTTGACCAAAAGTTCAATTTAAACTTATCTACACAAGAGCATGTTAATGTTATTACCTCGGTGGGGGTACGATGATTCCCATGGATGGGGTGGGGCCCATACCATCCTCCAGTTGGGTCATTAAGCTGGCCCTCAATATGAAGCAGACTAGCAGGACTAGGGCCATTACACCAAAACCTAGATATTTCATGGTGTTGGTCTCTCTGAAATAGATACATTATTATATATTAAAAGCCTGTTGAAAGTTTTCAGCTCTTTCTGTATCTTTCTGTCTTATCTAGAGACCAAGTATAACTTCTTTGACAGGATTTTAATATACTTCATCAATTTTTCTTAACTGGCAAAAAAAAAAAAAAAAAAAAAAAAAAAAAAACGGTGTTTTTATGGTCATCATACTATCTCACCTTTAATGAATATACGAAAAGCTACAAAAATATTCCAATCCTTTTATATTGTATGCACTATAAATAAATCGCCACAATTTAGAATAATTTAATTTATAAATTGTCATTTTTTTCATTCACTTTCAGTCTTTTATGTAATTTTTAAATAAATGTGTTTAAATATGTCTATTCTTTTAAACTACTTTACCTCTTTTCATAATTTTACANAATTACCGTATATTCTCACAAAACCCTGTTATCTAGAATCTTAGGATCTGCTCAGAAGGGTACATATCAGCAATCCAAGATTCTTATCCAATCATATCCCACCTCCATAACCATGGTAACAAGCATAAACAACCCAGGCCAGGGAGAGGGCCCAGGCAAACTTGCTGAAGGTCCCGTAGACCAGCTTTCCTCCCTGGTTCCACAGGTAGTCTCCATGATAGACACTGTAGGCCAGCACCGTGATATAGATACAAACAACGGCCAGTGCCACAGACACCAGCCAGCCTAAGGAGATTGTGATCTGAAAATGAAAAAAAAATAATAATAATAATAATAAATAAATAATAAAAATAAATTGTGTGTGTGTGTGTGAAATGATAATATATAGCACATGGTACACTGGGATGCCCAAAACTTCAAGAAAACCCTTCCCCCTTGCCTTCAATTTTATGCCCTTGATTTCAAGAAATAGTCAAACACAGACAGCGAACAAATGTTTTGAGTTGAAAAACTGACTTTTTTCTAGGTTGTCAAAAAAGAATGATTATTTTCAGAACTCAATTATTCAACCCACCATGGATATTCTCTTCCTGGCTCCCTTGAGCTGCTGTATGAAATAAGCCACCATCATTCCAACTAAGTAAGGCGCCACTCTGGTGTACGGCTTCACGTAGACGTCCGAGGAATATTTTTGAGTGGGAGGTTCATGGGTTCCATTGGCGTTCCTGTGTAATATCGAAATACAGACATTAAACATTTGGCATCCTTACATTATGTGGCTTTATGGTAACTGACACACATTTACCAAGATTTTTTTTTGTACCACTGACATTCTTGCATAACCCCCCCCCCCCCCCCCAAGTATGGACATGCTATATGTGTTGTCAATTTAGCACATGGTCAGATGATGTCTGAGGCACAGTGTTGGCGAAGGTTGACCAAAAGTTCAATTTAAACTTATCTACACATGAGCATGTTAATGTCATTACCTGGGTGGGGGTACGATAATTCCCATGGACGGGGTGGGGCCCATACCATCCTCCAGTTGGGTCATTAAGCTGGCTCTCAATATGAAGCAGACTAGCAGGACTAGGGCCATTACACCAAAACCTAGATATTTCATGGTGTTGGTCTCTCTGAAATAGTTACATAATTATATATTAAAAGTCTGTTGAAACTTTTCAGCTCTCTCTGTATCTTTCAATCTTATCTACAGACCAAGTATAACGTCTGTCACAGGATTTCAATATACTTGACCGATTTTTCTGAACTAGCAAAAAACAAAAAAAAAAAAAAAAAAAAAGAGAAACAAGCTTTTTTATTGTCATCATACTATTACACCTGTATGAATATACAAAAAGTTACAAAAATATTCTAGTCCTTTTATATTGTATGCACCATAAATAAATCACCACAATTATGAATAATTTAATTAATTTATAAATTGTCATTTTTTTCATTCACTTTCAGTCTATTATGTAATTCTTAAATAAATGTGTTTAAATCTGTGTTTTCTTTTAAACTTCTTTACCTCTTTTCATAATTTTACATTTACTACTATTTCAAAAATTACATTCATCTTCTTAGATGGAAAAACTTTAAGTTGCAAATAATTATCATCATCAAATATACACAAATAATAATAATAATAATACCATGCTTTTTAAAGGTAAATTATTTAGCATTAAAATTGGGAAAGTCATCTCACCTGTGTAGGAATATTAGTATCAAGGGGCTAAATAAGAAGAACTGGATATCGCAGGCAAGGTACCATACCCAAGGAAGACACTGTGAAGACAAAGATATTGCAGAGGTGATAGGGGTGCCTTGTTGGTGGAAAATATTCTATCACAACAGAGAGCCTGTAATTTCATACGTTTCTTAAAAATTCATATCTACATTATCTCCCCTGTCCATTTAGGTGGCTGTATGCAGTTAAGATATCAATTTCAAATTTCTGTTAGGCCAACCACACACACACACACACACACACACACACACCACTTTCTGTGAACTTTTGCCCATTACAAGCCTTTCAAATCCATCTTGTCTTTTGTTTTAAACATCATATGTATGTCATTTCATTGTGTACTAGTACATTCTGGTGGTCAATAACAAATCAAACTTCACATCTGATGCTAAAAATTACCTACCTTTTCTAGCAATTACATAACTCAGTATATACCCAATACAGATCAAACAGGATGACAAAACCAGTTAGTTTTCAGTTTTATATTGCTAAATATATCACAGACAACTGAGAACTACCCGCATTGCTTACCTCATCAGCTGCCTTTACAGGGTAAAAGTTATTGATATATAGAATATTGGTCCACCAGTACTCTGGACAGTTGTCAGTGGTCACTTGCTTGACCACAAACCACAGTGGACCGTCCCCCATGTGAGGAAAGATGTTCACGTAGAACAAGATTACCATGACCATGACAGGGGTTAACCTGACATTTGGAATTAAAGACATATTTGTTGAAAAAATGTATCTTCACTATGAATTCAAGAAATATTGTCCTAACCAAAGGTGATTTTTTAAATCTAATTTTCTTGTACATATAGGGAAATCAAAATGTTCCACAGTGAGTGATAACATATCATACAATAAAAACTATGTCACTGTCTTACAGTAGACAAATTAATAACTAAAACAAGTTAGATGCAAGATATCCTGTGCTGAATGTGTGTGTGTGTGTGTGTGTGTGTGTGTGTGTGTGTGTGTGTGAGAGAGAGAGAGAGAGAGAGAGAGAGAGAGAGAGAGAGAGAGAGGTTACCTCCAGTATCTGTGGAACAAAAACTTGTGGAAAGGGTACCTCCCCTTGCACTTGTCCATATAATTCAGTGTACTGTAACACACTAGTATGCCACTGTAGAGAGAGATAAGATATATATATATATATATATATATATATATATATATATATATATATATATATTTTTTTTTTTTTTTTTTTTTTTTTTTTCAAGATTTAAACATTTATGGCAAACGTCCACATTTAAGTATTTGAAAATAAATTCTTCAAATACTTAAATGGGGCTGATTGCCATAGGAATGGAACTTGCAACTTTTGTTTTATATATAAATGATTTAAAAAAATGGGATAAGATCAAGATATATTCCCTCGCATCTCACAAAAAAGAAAAAAATATCAGCAATTGCTCAAATATTTACACCTTATATTAAATTTTTTTGAAAATCATACCAAAAATGCTATAAAATAGCTCTTTTTATCAAACCATAATTACCTTATAAAGAAGAAGGTATCAATGGCAAAGTATCCATTGACCACAGGCTGGAAGGTCCACTGGGATGGATACTGGTATAAAACCCGGGTATTGTCTGAAATATTACATACAGAAACTTTATTTCTGTCACTGCAACCATCAGACAGTTGACACTGCTGCATTTCATTTTTCCACAGGAATACGAAAACCCCTCTGTAGCATGGATTCAAGTTTTTGAGTCATGGTGTAAGTCAGATACAACACTTCCCAGAAAGATATGTTTGCCATCCATTTGTATTCCACACTCATGGATATCACACATAACTTTCTGATTGCATCTATTATTAACTGATCAATAAGTTTCAGGCGTATCCTAACATGTGTTGACAAACACACACGCAAACATATATACATACATGTGCATGCACTCACAAAGATGCATGCACAAATCACACACACTTGCATACACCTATACATGAATGCACACAAACATGCATGCACCCATACGTATAATATGCACATACACTCATGCATGTATGGACACACATACACATGCACACACACACACACACACACATGCGCGCGCACCTGTTAGGCCCATAAAACTGGTCAACAGCCACACGTGTCCTAATATGACCCAGAACATGGTGATCACCCTCATCCCGTTGAGACAACTCAGGCTGGCATCCCCCTCCTTTGTGGAAAGCAACTTCCTGATGTTACTCAGAATGGAGAAACAACAGATGACCTGCCTAAACAAACCTGTGGAAGAGAAACAACAAGTAATTCATCATCATCAGCAGAATATTCATCTTTATCAATGAGCTTCACTGATTTGATACACATTATGACAGGATTTGATGGAAAAACTGATGAAAGTGTAAAGATAAAGGAGTTTTAAGTATAGGCTGACTTTACCTTGGCTAATTCTTCTATTTGATTAATTTAATTGCTCTGCTACTGTTTAACACTGTATTACTGTTTAAAACATAAAATTTCCTTCAATGTTAAAAAAAGCATTATATTCCTTTCATTGAAAACTATCTAACTGCCAAACTATACATCTATGGGCATGCAAAGAGGCTTATCATAATGAAGTATGGAAATAACTGAGATAAAAGTCACTGGAAAATTAATTGCGAAAATGTGTTTGGTGAGCCAAGGTGAAGCTGACAAGTACCATCAACTGACTTGACTTTTAAGTGAATGCTACATGCAGAAAAGCAATGATAAGCTAAGGCATGCTATAAATCTACCTGGTGAATTAAAATACAAACTACGGATTCTCTCAGGCGTGGGTGGGGTCTCCCAGTCGTGGGCTCCTGGACTGACAGATTGCACCCCATGTCGTGGCTGGGTGTATTGAGGGTCCACAAGGTGGGAACCATTGGCGTCCATTTTATGAATCAGTTTTGGTGCTCGGTTCTTCTTGTAATCTTCAACGCCATCTACAATGGTGCCCAGGATCACTAGCAGTCCAAACAGAGAAAATACCACTCTGAAATATTGAAGGTCGAACTTGGAGAATTATGAACATAAAATTGTTTGATCTTTTTCTTTACAATTTTTATGCAGGTTAATGAGATGTAGGCAACACTCATGTGTTTTTATTATATTACATTTACTTATGTACATTTAATGCAAAGAAAATACACCAAACATCATACTATTTCAGCATTATGTTGAATAGCTTTTTAGAACAGACATATAAGACAGAAAACTACCAAGATTTCAACTTAAATCATATAAAAAAACATGTCTGAGAACAGATAGACAGAACTATCCATTCTCCAGTTACCGAATTTACAGAGGGTTCTGCGCATGGCAACAGTGACTGTGAGATCTAACCGATCAGACCAGACGTCCATATAAAATCAATATATCTATTTGCATACTGACAGCACAACATTATCCTCCATGTACATATGGATTATAAGTGCAAGGAGAGCACCTGCATGCATCGACTAGATATATCACCAAGCAAAAATTACTCTACATCATATGCAGGCAATCATTAGGCACTTGAATAATTGAAATTCATTTACTCGGGATGCGTTAATAGCTGGTTTGACCTAGTCAAAGACCAGTCTGTGTCATAAATTTTTCAGCTTACTGGCTATTTGGATGGCCACTTTCCTAAAATCTACGTACTGGTCCAAATCAGAATTCACTGGTTGAAATAAAAATTTTTATAAGATCAGGCAATTCCCTGTATTGAATTAATATTAGTGATGACATGATCTTTGTTTTGTCAAATTTCGTAAGTTACACTTCAGAAAAAATTAAATCAAACCTAAAGCTCCTTTGAAAACTTATCATGGCCATGTCGGACCACTAGATTCACATATTCTAAAAAATCTACTAGTCCAACCAAAATTTTACTAGCTGCTGGTGTAGGACTGTGTGATGAAAAGCACCTCCCTTCGTATTCTCTTGGTAACTACAGACTTTATAGCCCTTTCCACATTAAGTGGTAAACATTAGTGAGACAGCCTGTGCTGGTACACACTGAGACTCGGAGAGATAGACCACTTGAAGCTGCATGGCTTTTATACAAGAGAATTATATGTAAAGGGAGCCTCTGTGCCTGTCATGGCCAATTTTACGATAATTTTAGGAACCTCCATGATTGTCTTGGCCAATTTTTATTAAAATTAACTAAACATTGCTAAACAACACTTACACTGTTCCTATGAAACCTGAATCAAAATCCCTCTTGGTATAATTAATGCTTTTATGAACACGCACGTGGGTAATGTTGAACTTGTTCAATGGAAGTGTAGCTGGAAAAAAAAAGAAATAGATAACAATTCGCAGCAAAGTCCAAAGGTTAAATGCTACATCGCTATGTCTTGTCAGAGAACATGAATTCCCCATCAAACTCTCAACTTTGTGAGTGGTTGAGGTATTGTTAAGTGTGAAATTATCTTAATTTATAGACCTATAAATATCATACATGATATATTGCAAATGAAATTATATTAATCAATTGATCCAAACCGTTTTACTTATAAACTCTGATCTGGACTTCAAAAATGAGAAATGCAACAGAAAACAAAGTCTCAATCAACTGGTTAAGATTTTGCTTGTTAGAATGGAACAAACCATTAGCAAGCACAGGAATGCTGTTTTGTGTGTCTTTAATGGAACAGTTCTTAGGAATACAGAGGCCCCACATGACCACTTCCTTCCCATCATGTGACTGAAACGTGAAAACAGAGAATTTTCAACCATAACACAGTTAGAATGTTTACTTTTATTGGAGACAAATGGCTAATATTTCCAACAAATTTGCAAATTACCGAAGAATCAATTTGGACTTGGCTTTAACTGAACGCAAACATTTGGTATGTAAAAATGTACAGATTTACAACAAAATCTGTCAATAGATATCCTTCATCTGACCAACCATGCTTAAGAGGTAGTTTGAGGATAAAAAAAAAGACAGCTGTGCCAAGTCATATGCCTGACACAAAGGAAAATGAATAAAATGCCACTTTTCTTTATCTAACCAGTCCCCATACTTACATGGTTTTGTTGTCTCTCAACTGGTAGTAGCCAGCTGATCTGCATCAAGGCCAAGGAGTAGTGGACATCTGGGATGTCCAGACACAGGTCATAGCTGCCCAGCCAGGCATTATTGCCAGTAACATGACCAGAGACAACTTTACCAAAGGCATCCAGAGCTGGAATATATGGTATCAAGTGTGAGAACCTGCAATATAAGGCTATGTTCAGAATGTAAGTTATCGTACTAGCAGGGTCGATCTATCTCAGCAGGAATTCTAGCTTAGGCATAGTCCATATAATAAGCTTAATTGTATGGCATGCTAAAGCAACATGAACAACATCATGGACCACAAAGTTTTCCCCACTTCACGCAAGTACTTTCAGTTATGACAATTAATTGTAACGCTTGTCACGTCACCCATAGATTTCACATGTATTATCCTGTGTTAGAGCCCTGCTGCAATATGGTATAGGCCATGTGTTATCTACCTAAGGCCAACTAGATGATGATTTTTTTGAAAAAATTCCTGCTGTTGCCAAATACTGCTGAAAGTAAATACTCTCTGTGTGATCCTGATAAAGATAATATGTAAGGTGCAAGAGAGGTAGAAATATCTCACAAATGTCTGTCAGTATCAAGAAAAAAACACCATACATTAACAAGCCTTATCAGTTCACTATCATACATATTGGCTCTCATAAGATGGCCCAATCAAACATAAACAAAATTACTGATTTCGTAGTGTGACTACTATCACTGGTAAAGCTGATATGTCACTGAAACTGTGAGTGATATGCATGTAGTATGAATAATCAATCTCTATCACTTTTGTTTACACTTATTATTTTTGCTATACTGCTAGGGCATACACATAATTCCAGGTTAAATGGGCCTACCTCAATTGCAGACTCTAGGTTTAGCAATTTTTTTCTTTTTGTATGGTACCTCATAAAGGTGAGAGGAGTAAATACAAATTACTCTTGCCAGACTTGGTGACTCCAGCTGGGGTTGCCCTCCCCTAGCTAGCATTTCTGGAGCACAGGTACCAGTGACTATACATAGCTATAGTTCATTCTGTAGCACAATTTAGTAAATTATGAATATAACGTAACAGAAAGTGCTACTGTAAGACTATTCATTCTAATACTTTATTAATGTAAGGGTGACAGCCCTAAATCTGACAGGCCACTGGGAGGAAAAGTTCATCCTAGCAAGGGAGTATTTTAATGAAGGGGTAGCTGAGTACGGGAATATACATTGTATACATATACTGGGTACAGGGGAAAGTTACCAGTTGCACTCTCAAATTCATGGTTCTGACAGTGGCTTTTTATACAGATTCGTTTGAACTTAAAATCTCATCTGAAAATTGTATTCATTTATGTTTTAATGTACAAACAACAATCCAAATATTTTATCGCATATAAACATTTTAAAAGCTATTTTACCAGCGTAATCATCAAATCGCCGTCCACTGATAATTCTGTGGATGCCTCTTTTGCAGTCCTCGGACACATTGGAGGGCTTTAGCGTATGCACTGGTTTAAAGTCGTCCCTTTCCACAAACTGAACAAGCATACGTGCCTGCGACGGGTGCAAGGCCCAGCTGGAGGAAATCCACGCGAGTAGAAGAGCACCAGACAACAACCGATTTCTCCCGTGATTGCCCATGGTTTATGAGAATTACAGGGGGTTTAAGCTCTACCCAGTCCACTTAACTTTCTGCCAAGGCGATTATCCGTCACATTGTTATAATTTTGAAACAGACTGCAGCAACGCAATGAGCTCCTTGCCAATGTCACTTCCTTCATGACCTAAATAAGATCATGTGTGGCATTACACAAAAGTAGAATGGCTCCAGAAATAAAACAAAAACCATTGACAAGATTTGCATTACTTTCTCAATTAATCAATTTTAGTATAAATCTATTCATATATTTTTGGTAAAACATAAATAATTTATACAATAAGAGTGAAGAAAATATCATAGATGCTAAGATGTGTTACGTAGAATGCTATCACCTTAGTCTTGTATTTAGATGCAAGCATCATCACATGACCAAAACAGACGGCTCACGTGTTCTAAGATGCACCCCGAGTTCAACGTCAAGTATGTGTGTTATGCGACTAGAACGAATATCAACGAATAAAACGTTATGGTCGAAGTCTATATTTCAAAATTAGCTTTAATTAAACGTCTAAAATTTCTTTTCTGCTATTAATCGGAGTAATAAATAATAATAGTAATGGTAAAAATGGTAAAAGTTGCAGTGACAAAGGTTCGACAGGTTATCTCTTATAAGTTATCAGGAAAGTGGAGTTTGGTTGCTAGTAATCAGGGGCGGATCCAGGACTAATTGAAAGGGGGGTCCGCGGATGCGAAGCCGATCTTACCCCCCCCCCTTTTTTTAAATAGATATTAGGTATCTTGTCAATAAATATTTTTAACACATGCAAAATGATGAAGGTAACGTATACCCAGCTTACACAGAACGTTTTAATAACAGGGTTATATATTGGTTAGACCATCAACAATTAAGTGTTAAGAGAACGTCATTCTTACGTTGTACACCGCCACTGTCATTATCATTGATCCGAGGAACGTTGCCAGCAAGTTCTGTTAACGTATATAAATTTTGATGAAATTTACAAATTACATGTATACATTTTTGTTAATTTTGGCAAAAACACATGAACAAAGAATTTCATATTTTGCACCACTTCAATTTGCACATACGCTGTCTTAACTACAACTAATGGCTGATTACAAATTCGGGGTTGGGGTTAGTCGGCAACTAGAGCGATGAGGATTTTGGATCCCTCGGGCAGCCGGTACCTACCCGAAATTACCGATCGACATGATGAAATGCTTAAAAAAACTATAAAAATAGACTTCAATTATGTAATAAGATTTATCAAAATTATTAAAAAGGTGTTTCCAAGTAATTCTGATAGCTGATTGGCCTTTGTGATGAATTAATGGATTGTTTTAACTTCAGTTTAGAAAATTCATTCTAATAAATTGCTTACAAGGTCAGCTAACACAGGAGCAAATAAGATTGATGAGTACGCCACGGTCATGTGATACACAAGTTGGGGAAGTCCATGCAATTGAGGGATGTCAGGTGAGGCGACTCAATTCCAAATAAAGGGGTGTTATCTGGGGCGATTCCATTCCATTACAGGGGGTGGAAAGTGGGGCGAGTCCACTGCATTAAAAGGNACTGCATTAGAGGGGTGTTAAAAGGGGTGACAGGTGGGGCGAGTCCAATGCATTAGAGGGGTGACAGGTGGGGTGAGTCTTGTAATTATCTCAATTTGGTTCATAGAACAGGAACTGAAATTGTTCCGTTTTACTCTCAGAAATCAGAATTTTGGCCAATTTCAGTCGTATCCATTAAGAAAAACTAACTTGATATAAGCTTACTTCAGAATCATCCCACATTTTCATTATGTTCAAGTATCAAATAAAGTATTTATACTAAGAACAGACCGCCAATTTAAAACAATTTACGATAGCAAAGGCCAAAACCCGTTTAAATGAGTCCCTCAGTATATAAATGAATATAGGAAAAATTATATCCAAACAAATTAGTTCCATATGCTATGGAACAAAAAATTCACGCGAATTTTTAAAAAGCATACTTTATTTCAGTGCGCTAAAACAGCTTGGAGGTTTTTTTTTTTTTTTTTTTTTTTTTTTTTTTTTTTTTTTTTTTTTTTTTTAGAAAATACTGGTCATTTACAACTATTTTAAAAAAATTTAGGTACGACAGAAAACCGTCAACCACAAAAACATTTACATTATTTACAGATCAGATTGAATTTGAAAGTCCTCAAACACTGAATATAACTCATTTTCCAAAATGATTACTACTATCCTTATCATAATAATTTCATAACAAAGTGAAAAATAAAACGCCAATTTACAATAGTTTTTTATTGAGTTTTCATATAATATATACACAAAGGAGTGTGGGTTCCTGTGTGTGAAACAAAGGCTAGAATTCATAGGTTGCTTTCAGGCCGATGCTGTGCAGAATCTCATTGAGCACCTGAAAAGATAAAACAATGTTTACAACTTTGAACTAAACAGACAGGCTCTGTACATTCTAATAATGCATGTAATATCACAGGGCAGAGGGCACATATGAATGGAATAATGGCGTGCACGTTTATTAATTAGTCTGATGTTCAGGTTCAGCAAGCGTTAAACCAAAATTATGATCTGGAATTAGTTAATGATAATTAGATATAACTATTTGAGGCCGCTTGTTAAAAAAGTAACATTGATAGCACAACCCGTTTCATTTGCAGGGCGGGTGAGTCGCCACGACCATTAATACGGTTAATATGTTCCTCTTGATGTTAAAAGTTATAACACGTGTTGTTGTACTGTTGACGCATTTCAGAGAAAGAGATCATTTACAAATTCTCTTCGAAAAGTATAACAAATATATTGCACATATATGATAAGTTTTCAATAAGTGCACCGTGTAATGGATGGACAACACACGGCACAATGGAGACGACAGGTGGGGTAAAATATGTATCTGTCAATCATTGTGCAATGAGCACTCGAAATCCTTGGATCAGAAGCTCAGAACGGTGACAAGCATCGTCCAATTAATTAATTTGGGTGGTAATACTTACATTTAAACACACACGAGATTTTAAATTAGGTCAAAATATTCAAAATTAATTGTCAAGGCCGGGGCACACGAAATGTTCAAACAGAGGGTTACAAAGTGCAGAGGATTTCAAGCAAACTTAGGTTATCATCAAAAGTCAGATGAATGCGCCATTTATTCTGAACATTTGGAGTCTCAATGCACTGTAAGCAATAATTTCTACCATTCTGAGTGACATACAAGTAACAATGGAAAATAGTGTAAGGATTCAAGTCATAAATATTTGCCGTAAATATTTTTCTAATTCTTTTGCGCCCTTAGTATTAATGGCTGTGGTTGATAAAGAAATAGTGATACTCACAAATACACATTTGCTTCCACGCCTTATAAAAGCTCGACCTTCTCACTGCACCACACATACTGTTGCGTCTACACCCGACCCTGTCTAACTGCCAAGTGAACATTCGGGAAGACAGCTCTCATTACGAAGAACAACTTGTTGTTATGCAAATAACAACAGGTATAGCTCGTTTTAGGTGAGAGGTTGTTACTGAAACTGTTCACGAATGTTCAATAAACCCGGTGGTGATACCTTCATAAGCTCAAAGTCGTGGAAATATTCGATGTCATATACGATACTCTACAAGTCCAAAAGTGTCTAACTGGGCCTACTACACATGTAGCCCAGGTGTAACAGGAATGGATGTCCGCTAGGAACCGTAGTCCGCTTCCCATTACTTTGTACCGGTGATATCCGTCCATATACTAACCCTAATACTCCAATTAACCCTTACCTGTACTAATCCATTCCTATGACTTCCATTCCTGTTACACCTGTTTATTTATCTCTTTATTTATTTTGTTGACTGACTGATTTACCAATCCTTGGACCTAAATAGGGAGTCCAAGACCAATCAGATTGTTAACATGGGCGGATCCAGGATTATTTGAAGGGGGGGGGGGTCCAGAACAACAGACCTCATGATACGAAGCCGACCATCGCCCCCCTTGGTGTAGGGTTTGGGACCTGCTCAAGGACACCGAAAATTTTTTGGTTTTCTGGAGAGAAAACAGTGCCCTTTGGTACAGTTTAGAACTATGATTTAGCTAGTCAAAATTCTAATTTCAAGAGGGGAATATTGATGTGATATATTTTTCAGAAACCGAAGGGGGGGGGGGGGGTCTGGACCCCCCTGACCACACTTGTAAATCCGGCACTTGGTAGTGACAGCGTGATACCGCTAATGCCCCTATTTCACACAGACCACGAATTCCACGAATCGCAAGGAATTGACAAATTTCAGGATTCGTGGTTGAATCGTAATCAGTTCGTGAAGTTCTTAACAGATTCGCATATAATCGTAGTCAGTTCTTGCAATTCTTGATCAATCGGGAATTCGTGGCACAAATTTTGAGCTATTCAAAAAAATCGTAGTGAATTTTTTGACAATATTCGTGCGATTCCAGCCGAATCCCACGAATATTCGTAACACTATCGCACCTGTATCGTAACTGAATCGTAGAGCGTGTCGAATTAGGCCACAAAATCTGCAAAATCTCACGAATCCTCACCAATCCTGAAATTTGTCAATTCCTGGCGATTTGTGGGATTCGTGGTCTGTGTGAAATAGGGGCATAAAGGCTGGACTTCTGTCTCTTCCATATGTCCGCCTTCTGTGCCATTCACAGATTTCACAATTTGTATGATAATTGTATATTGAATTTCATCGCTCTGGTAATGTTAAAACTGCTGAAATAAACATACCAAGCTCACATGTATAAGATCTCTGCGAAGACGTTTTTTCCCTCACGTCCCACTCTCTCTAACTTTGTACATACATGTAAACTGGTGTATATTAATTCCTATGTTCTCTCTCTGTTCTTAAACGTAGTGTTGTGCCCTAGGAGTAATATTAAATGTTATGACATCCAGAGATTGGTGGGTGGGTTGGTAGATGTATATGTGTCTGCCTTTGTCACTGGTAAATTACTCTCATAATGGCTAATGTCCATTGCATGACATCTGCACATAAATTTCTTAAATGTGGATGTGTAAGATCTTTTTGTGCTGATATTTTAAGGAAAGGATCAAATTAAATATTTAACTCCACAAACTGATAGCACAGACATCTTTAGATTGCTATGGCATGCAACAACCTCAGCACGTGGCCACCGAAGTCTCAGAACTTTGAGGGTGCATTCACATTGAATCTATCGTACTAGCTAGTGTGCACTAACTCCACAGGGACTCTCCCTAGATGCAGTCAGATGAACACACACCTTCCTATTGTGGAGTACAAATAGAAAAACTGGGTATTATACAATTACATTGGAAAAAAGAGGAGGGGTGTTCATCTGATTGCATTCAGTGAGTCCCCGTGGAGTAAATGCACACAAACTAGTACAATAGATGCATTATGAATGCACCCTGGCCTAAGATGGTCTGAGCACGGCAATATTTGGGAATGACAGCACTCAAATATGGTAAGACATCCGAGTCTGTGACAATACAACTAAGAAACTGATGGCAATTTAGTCTCTCACTGAATAATATAGATATAATAAAATGGACACTTTTTTCACATACTATGAAATTTTAATTCACCATAGAAAAAAGTACTATTTTACTCCTTTTATTTCTCTTAGCTGCTCCAGTTTTTCAAAGAAATGAGCAAAATTTAAACATTGCATGTACAATGGCAATAAGTGAATACAATATGGTATACATTTACAGAGAAGAAATGTTACGAATAGTTATATTCTATGTGAAATATGTAGCAAATGTCAACATTATCAATACTTCGAACAATGTCATTGGAATTCAACAGCAGCACATAAAATGTCCTGCAACACAGGAAAATGCAATGAACGCAAATAAATATGTACAAAGCATCAGAAGTATGACTGTGGTAATGAATTTGACAAATCGTGAACCAACAGCGTATTAAATCAGCCTGGGCACGTTTATTAGTAACAGTAACTACTACAGATCATGAAAGTGAAACTCACATCTAGGTTTATCAATTCTCACTACTTTTGGCATTGTGCGAATCATGTTTTTTTTAGAATCTGTGCTAAATTATGTGGAATTTCCCAATTGCATGTGATAATAAAGCAATGCATGTAGGCTAAATCTGACAACATACCCATCTGTTTCAAAATTCCCTCATAAAAAGCACTTCCTTCTTTAAAAGAGACTCAAAAAGAATTGGTCGTATATTGACAGCCAGGTTAACAAATTTTGTACCCATGATTCAAAGAAAGTTTTCAGAGAAGTGAAGAATGTGCTCAATTCTGGGAATGTTACAGATATATTATGGCATACTATATTTTCAAGTGACAGCACTCTTCGCGGATTATGAAAATACTACTTCTAACAAGAGAAAGAATAAATGTTTATATGATTACTTACTCAAAGCACCATCACCAAGTCTAACACATAAATCTTGTCTTTAAAAAATATCTTACAACAATTTTTTTCAGGAGATCATTTTATGTTAGACTCCATGAGACACCCCCCCCCCCAAAAAAAAAAAAAAAAAAAAAAAAAAAAAATTTACTTGCGTCTTTAACTGTATTCAGCTCCTCTACACTGGCCTTCTAGCATGTGGAATTATGGAGCAATCAGTTCCTCTTTTAAGCTAAACATTTTCCACTTTATAATCTCCAAAAGCAAAGAAACAATTAAAAATACTTCATCAGGGCCAAATGTAAACATTTGCATTGACAAATTAGCAACAGTCAATAAATTTTTAACTTACTTGTTACTAAAGAAATGTCAATACAAAAATTTCATTTTTTAAAAAAAGAACTGCTGCTTCTGTGACAGAAGGCATCTTTATAAACTTGACAAACCCTTGAATATGGTAAAGCACTAGCCCATGAAGTTATCAGATATGAAGTTGTGTAAGTACATGAAAACAGTTGATGTGCATACAATATATTTCTAATTATTCAACAAAGAGATACCCTAAAATGGGTTAATACAACTTCACCTCACAATGCCCTGGACACAACTCATAGTTAATTGCAATGGTGCAAGTTAGACCTACCATCAGCTTTCAAGTTGCTTTCAAACTCAACACTTTTTTTCCAAAAAATAACCACAGCAGCTTCAAATAAAGCATCTTTTAACATGGTTGTGTTCAGTGAAGTTTTTACCTTTTAAATTTCGGGTACCTTTGAGACCAATACCAGACTGAAGTTCATCACGAATTGCACAACTAGGCATATTTTTTCTTTCTTTATTATTTTTTTAAAAAAAGTTTTTTAAACTCACATTCTGCATTTCAATTCCAGTTTCAATTCGTGCAAAATGTATCCAATGAATGAAGACATCACAGGGCTTTGATGGTGCAGTATTTTTTTGTCTTTGTCATATTTGTAGAAAACATTCATTCAATTACACATGCGATATCTTCCAATTATTGGTACAAGTTGAAACATTCAAAATATCTAGCTCATTCCATTCTGCTCTTGAACAACTGACCCTCAGGTCCCATATGGCATTCCGACATTTCATTCTTTGCACTTGAATCTTTAACATTTGGTGGCCTTGTGACAAGTAACAATTCTTATCTCTTTAATTTTTTTTTTTATAAATATCAAATTCTAGACATTTTCTTGCTCTCCTATTCATCACCAGCGCCTGATGCTCTTTTTGTACGCCTCTCTCTGGGGGACTGTCTTGGTGACTGCTTCGGAGACTTACGCGGTGATTTATCTGAAATGGAGATAAGTATATACTATTAGTTCAACAGTGACAATGGGCATAGAGCAGGAATAGTTTATATCAATTCAGACGAGTTGACAATGTCTAATAACAGCAGGACTTTCAGACTGGAAGTTATGAAAAAATTCTGGCAGACCAAAGGACTCTTTGACTGTAAACTCAAAATGGAACTTTTAAAAATTGTTGCCATCAGTACCTTGGACTGACTGAACAGTTTTCTATTGGTTCCCAGGAAAATGATATAGGACATGACAAACAGTTTCAGTATGTCTGTAAACTAAAAGGCAATGCTAACCATAACAGCCAATCTCTCCAGCACTAAAAATTTTTTTTTTTCATTTACAATATTTTCATTCAGGAGGAAGTAAAACTTGATCCTTAGTATCCCTACATCTGCTATGCCACTGAACTAGGGTGTGAAAATACTTAAGACACTCACATTCACAACCCAGAACTTAGATTCAGGAGTTACAGTTTAATGTCACACTCCAATTTCTCCTGTAGAGCGACTTACTTAGTGCTTCCAGCGTCTCTTTAGGGATCCAGTCGAAGTCTACATCGGCATTGTTCTGAGTTCCCATCTCCACTGCAGACTTGGGTTTGCCCAGTCTCTTCTTCTGTAACCACAAAATACTGACAATTTATAGACTACTACATGTTGGTAATATGTCATAGGGCATGAATTTTAAATCCAAAACTCAGTTAATCGGCAAATTGTTGAAAACAAACCTTGAAACATCCCATTGTTATTATGTGGTTGACAAGCAGGCATTATGGAGTCTAATGCTACCACGCAGAATCATGGAGACATCTAAATTAACCAAAAATTAAATTTCTTCATAAAATTACTTATAACTTGTACACTTTCCACTGTTGGGGTAGAGCTAACACTTGCCAATTTAGCCAAATGCTAAAACTGACTTAAATTGGCTAAACAAAAAGGTCTTGATTTGATTAATTTTAGTCAAATTAAAGCCATTTGGATAACAAACTGAGAAAAAAGTGGTGATTTGGCAAAGTGAAAAAAATTGCTAGCGCTACCCCAGCACTGCTCTGGTGACAATGATTTCTTCACCAAATAGAACAGAACAGTTCAGTACAGAAAACGAGGACAAGCTTGGGTCCAATGCCACACAGCCTATGGCTGCGTTTACACTGAAAATAGGGCTGATCCAACCCACGGGGCTTTCTCTTTGGGTTGGCTATGGCTGTGTTACCATTGAATATAGGGCTAACCCATGCCAAACAGTATTTGGTCATGATAACATTGAAGAAAGATGGTGGGATGTCATTTGCTAAACTATATGCTAATCTATGGCCATGTTAAAATAAAAAAAGTTTATCAAAAACCCATGAGATTTTTCAACCCTTTTCCTGTTATATTTATTGCTTTGATTACTTACGCCAAAGGTTGCAACTAACTGCTGTGCTCCTACCAACAGCAACACTGCCAGAGCGGCTAATACAACGTACAGGAAGAAACTGGAACAGAGAAAAATAAATCAATAACAAACTAGTCAGCATAGATATTGCTAAACATGACGTCTGAGCAAGTAAAATTTCTCAATCTACAGATTATTACATTTTAATTTTCAAACTCCCAAAAGAGTAATGTAATTTTGCATATTTTTTATGTGCTTCAATGAGAGTAAATTTATATCAACTACAACAAGGCCTTTGTTACATTAAACAATCAAAACACAGGGCCTTATATGTGATTCTTCACCTGTGCCTATCCTTAATCTTAAACTATTTGAAAACATTTTCACCGCGCCTGAAAACTTGAGTAGCATCGTAAAATTTTACTCAACGCCATTTTTACCCAAGGAAATGGTAAATGGTTTTCAAAATTGGCAAATAACAAAACTGCTCCTGTGGCATGCAAACTGTCATGGCTGAGCATCCTGGTACTTACGTTTCCCCATCCAGTCCTTCATCAGATTCCACAATCTGCACAGTTTCATTAAATACAGCGTCTTGGAAGTAGTTGCCTTCCTGCAATGATTGAATGAAACATAGATGAGACCAATTCAGCAAGTAGAGTAAATTGATGAATGAAAATACGTTCTGGTATGTTTCCTTTTGATAAATTTGAACCGTGTCATTTTCCCATATCTATTCTGTCCCTGAGGCCCGGTCACCAAAATTTCAAAGTTCTAGCATCAGAATTTGAATTTGAAAATCACATTTTTGTGAGTATAGAAAAAAGTGAGATGTTGGCAACTGGAAAGTAATCACATGAGGTAACCACATGCATTTTCAGACATTGGACTGGATGTATTTTGACAACTTGATTAATATACCAGTTATTAAGTCACCAGCAGACCAATTAGCCACATTTCTGATGTAAAAACACAGAAAATAAAATTCAGCAAAATGGAACTAAACAGACTCCCCCCCTCCCACATTCCCAAAGAGAGAAGCTTTTTGCCAAAGATTGCCAACCCTCGAGAGTCAACTGGACAAGGCAGCCTTCCATTATTAGTCTACAGTAATTACAGTTATCTACACGAGGTATTATTGCAGTGAGTAAAGTAAGCATCAATAAAAATGAAATTGGTTTTGAGGCTTAGCATTAGGCATGTGAACTTAGCAATTTCTTTGTCAAGTGCACTTTAGTCAGCTCAAATTCTTTGAAGTTGTTGCCAAGACCAATTTTTGATTTTAAATCATTTGTGAACCAGGTGCCAGTGGGACATTTATACCAAGCAAGCTATAGACCAGTTCCAAGAACAAGTTTTTATATGCATCTAATGTCAGAGATTCCTATAACACGTACTGCATATCGAGGCAGCAGTGTCTCAAACTACTCTGCTATTATTTCTCTAGCAAGTCTCTAGGAAGTTCAGGAATACAGTGATATCTCCTGCTCTGCTGGTACTTGCATTAACTTATACATGAGACATGGTTTTAGGTTATAAGAAAAAGCTAGGAAGAAATGACTTGATGGTGTTGCAACTGGGGGTCTTGGATTGATTAAAGTGAAAAAAATATGATTTAAATAAGACACAAAATCATGTCTGATACATTTTACACCTTATCCCCTTTTAACAGTATTTTGATGGAAGCAGGTAAAGATTTGTGGGGAAAAAATAAAAGCATTTGGCTATGTAACTGAAAAAGAAGTGAAACGAACATATTTCCATAAATTTAGCTGTAATCAGGCATTTTTAGCCATTTGCCCTACAAAAAAAGCTACCAAGTGCCCGGTCAACTTCAAATAATCTCAAACTGTTTTCACATCTGGTCAAAACTCCCGAGGTGAGTGGCCTTAAGATCCAACAAGTTCCCTGGCACAGGGTTTATATAGCTAACAGGTGTCAGGGTTGTACAACTGAGAAATGAGGACCAGTTTGAAATTCATAAAATCCAACTCAACACTCAACTGGGTACACTACACAATGGCAGCAATACGTCATGCACGGAATGCGATGCTGTGATGTTTCATGTAATAAATATAAAGAATCGTGCCAGCCCATGTCTGATCTTGCGTACAAGTTGAACTGCACTTCCACAATATAACGGGGCATATTATGAAAATTGTTTTTTGATCTAACAAAAACATTTTTGAATGGCAATGATCACAGAGAAGTAAACATGTAGAAGACCTCCATACATTTCTTTGGATGTACTATCAAGGGGTACCAAAAATATGCACTCGGCAATAATACAAGGCAAAACTCACTTTTTTCTTTCTTAAAGATGGAGGGAAGAGGGGGGATAATAAATTATGTATCTTTATAATAATATTTCATATTTGGCTAGGTGGTAGCACAATTAATAAGATGTTTTGGGTGTGTAGTGCAGTCCACAACTCATTTTTTCTATTTTTTTTTCAGGGTGGTGGTGGTGGTACAGTAATCTATTATAAGAATATTTCATATTATTGCAGTCCACAACTAGTTTTGTCTTCTTTTTTTTTCAGGGTGAAGGGAAAAGGACGGTTATCTTTTAAAATAATATTTCATAATAAGCCAGTGGTGACAAAATAGAATTAAAATATTCTGTATGTTGGGTGTGTAATGGAGTCCCATACTTACCACATCTCTGTAATTCAGGTTGATAGATAATCCAAACGGTCTGCCATTGAACTGTTCGCTGGGGAAGAAAGCATACTCAAAAGTTGCCTGTGCCTTGGGTTCAACCAGCCTGTTATAGCGGGCAGCAGTGAACTGGAAAAACAACGAAGGAAATCATAATCACTGATGTTTATCTTCCAATGCATCTTCCAATGCATCGGGAAAAAATTGGAGAAAGGCCCTGAATGTGACAAAGAAAGAACTGAGGCCAATCCACAATTTCACTTTCATTTCACAAATGGTGAAGTCATCCACAAGTTATCTTGTTAGTGATATACAATAGCAAATCATGCATCGAGAGAGATGCTGGAATATTTTTTAAGCACTAAAAAAATCAGGAACTGCACTCTGCATGCATGCAACATCTTTGCTGAACCACATATATAATTTAGTTATGTGGGAAATAAGATGAAATGGCTTGAGGAGGAAAAAAAAGTTTGGCATCAGTGACCGTTTTCTTGAATTCAATGTCATTAAATTCAGGTGTCATTAAAACACCTGCTCAGATTGAGATCAAAAGCTCTTTTGTCACAAACTAAACAAAAACTGATCACTCCTGAAATATTTCAATGTGCCATCCACCATCTTCATCAGTCTCAGAGTCCATTTTAACACACAAAGATTGTTTCCCTGAGCTTATGGTGTCAAACAGTCTACTTACGTTCTGGATATAAAAGCTGTAATCCTGGGGGTATCTGAAAGAGGCGTCCATGCTTTCCACGATGAAGTCCTTTTCTCCACTGTTAGCAAAGCCAACCAGAAGGCGCACCAAACTGCCACCAAAGAATTCTGAAATAACAATGACCCCAACTTTAAAAAAGAAAATGTACATGAAGTAAATCAACAGAAAAAAAAAAAATAAAATAATAAGCACACAGGACCTAATTACAAAAAGAGTAAACCAAAGATGCAGAACCATTTTTCACTCCTCTCCAAGCTGGAAATGAAAATAAAGTTGTTAATGTCAGGGGAAAATCTGACACATCAAAACACCAAAGCACTAGCCAGAATTTGTATGCATTTAAGCATTGGCTCTGCAGTGCACTTGAAAATATAACCAAACACAAAAATAGCTAACAAATAAAATTATTCAAATGATGGTACTTTCTGGGTATCTAAGGGTTGTGAATACAGGTTGATAAAAATTGATGACTCCTTAAACTTAAAACCTGTCATCATTACTACTCTCTCCCCATACTACCTGTGGTGGCACCTGCAGGCTTAGTGAACAAGAGGGAGGTGTCAGCATCTGGGGAAGGTTTAAGGGTGGCTTCTTCCTCCTCTTCTTCTTCCTCGTCACCCTGAAAATAGTGAATATTGGAAACTCATGTTATAAAGACCATTGTGATAACTCTGTAAGACAGATCACGATCCTTCACAACCAATGACTGGAATAAAGGACTACAAAAAGTACAGATTTTGAAGAAACAAGCCATAGTGACAATTTGGGCATATTTCTGTTAGCCACCCAACAAATTTCATCAAACTAATATCAAAGAACCAAGTGTTTGGTGCATTTTTAGAGCCAATTATTTAAAGCATTTGTTTACAATCCTACATGCGAACTTTAACCTAGGTTTTAATATCACCAGTCTTGTATTGATCATCCTTTCCCTTTTAAGACTCCCATTATTATCATATCCGTCTTTTCAGTCTAATATAAGAAACTGTAAACCACCCTCTTTTATGTGCCTCATCCTCGATACCTTTAAAATGACCAGAAATTATATTTTGTCTTATTTAACCAATTTATCAATCTGTCCCTTGAAAATAATGAGACCCTTTTACCCCAGCTTCAGTTTTGTCCACCTCCGCTGGTCCTGAAACTTTTCCCCAATATACTCTCACCCACCACTTGCCCCTACTTTTCAATTCATATTTACAGCACACCTGTATTGTCTGAGCTGCATCAGAGCCTCCCCTCTCCCAATACAAACTTTATCCATCCCTCATCTTGTCCATCTAAAAAGTGTCAGAGCCTCCCTTCTCCCACTTCATCCCAATATAAACCCCATCCATCCCTCATCATGTCCATCTGAGCAACCGCAGAGTCCTATTTCTCCCCTCATCCCGATATAAACCCCATCCATTCCTCACCTTGTCTGTCTGAGCCGCTTCAGAGCCAGTGTCCTCAGCACCCTCCTCTTCTACAGTTCCATCCTCCTCCTCGCCATCAACCACATCCTCTATTGGGTCCTCTGCTGCGCTCACCACTCCTGGAAACCACAATACAATATATAATATAAACACATCATATATATTATATTACTCTGCTTTACTGGAGCCTTGCCATGCACACTAAATTTGGCCATATTGGGGCATTAGTAAGCTCAGCCACTGTGCTTTGTTTCAAGGGCACATTTGGACAAAGAAAGCAAAGAAATGTAATTACTTGATTCATATATGATTTTTAGTGTAATGTGTGTGAAAGAGACACAGTGTACAGGTTGTATGAGCTCAATGTACTTTGTCTTGGGAATTTAATCCCTTTGATAATGTAGACTCAGTCTGCAGCAAAAACTTAACTCTTCTAGGCTGTTAGTACATCATGGTCTAAAAATCTCCTTGTCTATAAAAAAAGGGTGGAAAAAAGTGGCCAGTATCTGAACAAACTCCAGTTTAACTGGCACCTGGAATAGTGGTCAGTGTCAAGGTCAGTTCTAAGGTCAGTTACTGTTGATTACATAGAGCAAGGACAGTGATAGGATTTAGCATAGATTGGAAATGAAGGGTTCATTCACAAAATAAAGTTGTACTAGGTAGATCAATCTAATTCTGGAGGGACTATCGCCAAATGCAATCAGACTAAATGAATGAATCGCCTCCTAGATCAGCACACAAAAGTTAATCACATCCTAACTGCTCATCTACTGCTGCTTCACTTTGAATTCCCCCTTAGCTGAGGGTTTAGATGGGCAGAGATATACAGTGTAACCATTCACTGGCTTGTACACTGACCTTCCTCTTATTATTTTCATTGTCCTCAACCTCTCTCTCTCCCCTCCAAACATTAGGATCAAATATAATAAATAACTTTCAACAATGCTGAACTTCATTCATGCTTGCTATTACATTTAAAAATCCCAAATATTTTTTTGCTAGCATGAAGACAGAACACTGAGATTACTGGATAAGGAGTAGTTCTATGGCTCTATTGTCCTTCTATTAACATAAACCTGCCCAAAGACATTTAATAAGCAGCAACTGGTGGTTATTCTTATAAGCAAAGAAGGATACAGTTTAAGACTGAGTAATTCTACAATCTTAATATGATTTGCATTTATGCCACAACTTGACAAGGAACAAAAGAACCACTGTCTCAGTTCAAGTAATTTTACACTATGTATAGTCTAACTTATTTTATTCCTATTTCACTGCAATATTACTAAATAAACACATGGCCTCAAATCAAAGTCTAATTTTAAAATAGTGTGCCTATTACCATATCAACTGCCATGCAAGTTTCATATCAACACCCCCAGGCCCTCCCAACCCCAATTTAATTTATAGAAACCCTGATCAACTGAATTGTCCAAAGGCAAAAGTAAAGATTTTTAAAGTAAAACTCCACATACATAATCCATTCACTGTGCTGCATCTTCAGATATCCTATTAAGACATGACCTGAGCCCCTCCCCAATGTTTCTCACTAAAATATCTAGTTTTTCAATGTGAAGGTATACTGTGAAGAATATTACTATGAGGCAGTGTGGTTATGTTCCTACGTTCAACTTCAAGTGAATCTAACTATCTCAATGAAAAGGATAAAGATTGTTCTTTGAGGGTGGCAACTTGAAATTTCAGCAGTTCATCACTGGAGGTGAATTACAGGGGATTGTGTGGCCGAGATGTGCAATAATTTACCAGGCAATAACACGTTGCCAACCATTGAATCCTAGTGCATTTCATTAACATGCCTAAGCGTTTAACTATGATACATAAACAGATCAGAGCAAAACTCAATGAAAGTTAACAAAACAAAACTACAACATGTACAATTTTGTAGCAAATGGAACAAATATTTTCTTTTCATCAACAGCTGCGATACCGATGACCTGGCAACCGATCACATACAAAACCCCTCTTTAAACTGATTTTCAGACAAATTGCAAATTTGATACGGTTCAGGTGACCTCTAGTTAGACTGGGGGTAAGAAGAATTTAGCTTGATTGCAACAATTATTCTCAAAAAGACTCAAGATCGGGCACAACTAGGTGAGCAACAGGTGCCACGTATGTTGTTTACGGTACACGTAAGGATACCGGCTTCTTAAGATCACTTACCATTTCCAGCCAGCATGAAAGTCGATGGTAATATCAGGAGCAAAAGCAAGAGGAACTTTCCTAGAAACTTTGTCATTGTCGTTGAAGTCTTGTCTGGCTGTTAAAGAGGTTAGATGGTACCAGATTTGAGCATCTATCAAACCTGGAAATGTGGCAGACTCCACACAAAACCGGAAAAGGAAGGTTGTTTGAAGACGAGGCTTAACTTACGTGCGCTTTTGCCAAGTCATGTGTCATATGATTGGATGGCTGTTAACACATTACGTTTATTATTTGTAGTAAATTGACCAATCAAAAGTCGGTTAACAATCAATTTAATGCACTAATGACATAGTTGAAAGGTGCTTCCCGGTATATTTCAGCTGTTTGGATAACCAGCTGCACCGGTAAGTGATTAAATATTCTTGTTTTTCAATCAGACAGTGACAGAGAAGATGAGCAGGCTTTAATCTGGGTTTGTCAGCTAAAGCTTACAAACTTAAACGTAAGCTGACAGCTCAGCTGCAGCAGAGTTTTTAGTTGTTAGAAACTTTTTCGTCAGGTGGTTTTTCCTACTAAATCTGAGTGCATGTCTAGGCAGAGTGCCATAGGTGACAAGCTTATCGGTGATCCGTCAAAATATTTGCCTGGATACCAAAACTATTTACGCTCACACAGGTGTTGCGAAAGAATAGTACGCTTATCACGTGCGATCTAACTTTTCACGCCCTGGGGGTGCAGTAGAAGTTACTTTTGATAATTACTTCGACTTATTTGAACGCGTATAGTACTACTACTAGCCATAAGAGCCTTAATTAATGACGCGAGGGTAAACAAAATGCTTAATGGCAATAGAGATTCATGCATGAACGTCACGAGGGAATGCTCAGTGCAATCCGCCACCCCTCAATTTTTTGGTGCCGTCACTGGAGAGATATATCTTTATTTGTGAACCTGAACCCAGACATACCATAAACACGTGACCTCTGACCCCCTCGCTCCCCATGGCATGACTCAATATATGCCAAAGCAATCAGGGATCTGAATTGCATGCATGGTTGTTATTACAGCTTAAGTCTTTTGTCAATATGTGCCTCTGTCTCACCCGTCTCAAAAACGCCTCACGTCGTAAGCAGTGACTTAGGGTGTGGGGACGTAGTAAATCTTTTACTACGGCAAACAAACATTAAACATCAGTGCATGTAATTGATATGCAAGGGGGTTGCAGGTTGCTATTGATTGTGGCCCTGGCCATTGTGCTGAATGAATAACCATTGACTCCTAGGTTTTGTATTGTTCAAATAAATTGCACACGCATGGGGTGCCAGCTAAGATTTCAGCCTCGGCTCCCGGGCCAAGCCATTGACTGAAGTATGCTAAGAGTGTGAGTCATGCTCAAATGAGCACACACACACAGGGTCCCCGGTTAGCTGACTGGGCCCTGGACAGAGCCCGGTGCTGATCTCTAAATCTTGATCTATTTTTAGATAAGAAACAGGAGTTTGTTACTATACGTCTCCTTCCTTAGCTTCACTTTAATTCATGTTTTTTTATTTTCTTTTTGAAACTGATTATTACTTCTGTCGTAATTGTGAGATTTTTTGAAAATATGTTTGGAGATATGGAGAATAGTTACAATTACATATTTACCTTATGATTAAGCCGATATAATAGTAGATATTTCTTATTGAGGAAGAATATATTTTCCTAGTGGAAACTATCATGATTTTTTGTTGATTAAAAATCAAAGGGTGAAGTGATAATAATACCTACAGCAAGACCTTCATTATCTAGATCAACAGGTAGCTGTTTCCAGGCACTCGCACATTTATATCAAGCCGATAAGGCATTTATTTCATTGAAAAATGAAAAAAAAAAAAAAAAGATAGAATGCAGAGTGAATACAGGTGCTTGAGATAGTACGGTTCATAAATTTCATTTTTTTCCCGCTCGCTTCCAGCATGGTCTGTAGAACATGAACTAGCTTGAAGTTTTTGTTTAATTGAACTTGAACATTTCGCCATATTACCTTATGCACAATGCACATCTGCACATATTGCAAACAGGTTTTTAAAAATTATCCTAAATTTTATTTGCTGAATGTTTTCTCAGGAAATGCATCGTTACTTTTAAAAAGTTCCACTTTGTCTTTTTTATCAGTCCTCATGCCATGCAGCGTAACATGACGAGAGGGTGCCTAGGAGTTGTGAAAAAAGTTTTTTATTTTTTACGCCATATCAGATCTGTTAAACGGCATTCTCAGTTGAACTTACAATTGAGTGCATATTTATTTTTTTGTAATGTGACATACTGTTTAAGTATAAACATCTGCCAGAATTTAGCCCAGTCTGAAGTTGAAATGGCAAAGGATATATACATTCCCCACCATGAAAAAAAAAAAACAAAAACAAAACAAAAAACAAAACATGTTGTAGCAGTAGGTTAAAACCTAGAAGCATGTCTTTGTTTCTCCCTGTCCCCTCCCCCCCCCCCCATCCCCTTTGTTTCCCCTTCATTGACTGGCTTGTTAAGACCGCATTTAGATTGATTCACATTTCATATGAGCCAGGTTGGTCCAACTTTGCTGGGGATTCCTCGCTGAAGCGCAATCAGTGTAATCATTGCCCTAAGACACAAAGGGATCCAGTTTCAGACTGGTCATTCTGCTTGCATTTTATTATCCAGGATAGTTAATTGTTTGTTTGCGTGTGGTGTGATACAGGGACACAAGAAAACAGTAATATCAAAGGCTTGAGGATACACACAGGGAAAACATCCTCCGTAAAAAAAAAAAAAGGCAGCACGTGAAAAAATATTTGTTGAAGTGCAGCTGTACCAGCAGTTTGTTTTATCTTCCAAGGTGCAATGATCAATCCAGATTTGTTTGTAGAATATCATAATCAGAAATAGGTCAAAGAGCATGTTTACAGTGTTCAGGATTAGTATGAAAAAATGAGTAAAGATAGAAGATGGAATAAAATGTACTTGAGTAATGCTAATAAAAAATAGTGTTCACTGTAGCATATAAATGATTTGGTTATTAACTTTCAGCTGGCAGTTGAAAGGGGTGATACATTCTTGGATGTACTTTTTATTTATTGCCCCAAAGAGATGCTATGTTAATTGTATAGGAGGTTTGTACTGCTAGGGTCATTCTAGGATTTTTTTTTGCCAAAGTCAAATGATAAATTTTTGTTTGGTCAGTTTTTAATAAAAATGTTAAAAATTAATAATTATAATGATAAGAAATAATAGGTAAAATACGAAGAATATATTTTCTGAAGCTTTTTGGTTAAGAATTCAATGATAATTATTTGGCAGATAATGATTGAAAACTTTTTTTTCAAAATTTTCAGTCAAGATTTTTTAAGCGTTGACAATGTAGCATGCTAGCTGGAGCCTAATAAAGTTTATGGTTATATTACTATATATATCAGTTTTAACTGAAAAGGTTTTAGACTAACAATAGGAATTAGTGGACACCAGTCAGTTTATTGACCTCTTATAGCAGGGTTTGGGACAGGGGAGGGGGGGGGTGTCACATGGACAAAGGATTAAAATAAAAAGTGTACACATTTTATGTTAAAAGTTTTTTTAAACTGTTTTGCTTGAAAATAACTTGATTAGGACCTGAGAAGGTTTCAGCAGTGTTTTAGTGCTTTAGTACTGCTGCATTACTGGTACAAAGCTGGCAGTCCATAGAGTCTGAGGATGTCAGCAAAACATGATATACTAGTATGTCAAGTCACGCCACCGATTGTTCAAATTACACTGTGTCTGTCAAGGAAAATACAATATGGAGGACATGCCAGCTGAAAAAGGTCATTGTTGGTGAAAGGTTTCAAGTATGCATTGAAGACTGAAAAGCTGCAGCTTGTGTGTTGGAGTTCTCCTGTCAGATATTCATATATGATATATAGTCACTGTTGGTAAAGTCCGTACTGATAGAGATTTTCGTTGCAATTTCTCTTGAACATATTTTAAATACCTATTGGCTTTGTTTTAGAAGAGTGGTTTTTCAGGTTTTGGACAATTTTAAAGAAAAAAACCGAAATCCTTGAATTCATGAAGGGAGGCGTGTGAGAGTAGGAGAGATCATTACAGGATTAAACGGCCTTCCTTTCATGTAGGGTCCGCCATATTCGATCCTTGGATCAGTTGATACTCGGATCTTCTATTCTGAATGTCCCTTTAGTGATGTCTTAGACCCCATTTCCGGAGATAAGATCGATCCAACTAGATCGACGTAACTCCCTGGGGGTTCACGCTAAATAGCTGTCAGCCGAGCGGACACGAAAGTTAATTACCCCCTTACAGCTTGTAGTAGGCGAGACGGACATTTTAGCCGGATTATCTGACAGTAATCTAGTGAGACTCCCCATGGGGATAGATCAATATAAAATCTATGGGAATGCGCCCTTAGTGACATCAGTATAAAAATATAGCTGTGCAAGATGAAATTTATAAGTGACACGGGGTATGGGAGGATAGGGTCTTTATTTGATAATTATTCACTTCACTTGAAATAATATTTGAGTACGATTGTAAAGAATTTTTACTTGGAGTGCTTAAGATGCATAACGACACACATATTAAGTCATGGTGGTAAATTACACAAGCAACAAAGACCATAAAATTTTCTCTCCCTTTTCACCCCCCCTCCCCCAAAGAATTATTTTCAGATATTTTAATGTATAAAGCTAGCACACCTGGTAGTCTATGGATGATGGGTTATTTGATGCCATTGAGCTGTCTGGGCATATCATAATGCAGACCTCTTATAATACGCATGGCAAATATTGCCTACTTTCATGTCTGTAGAGTAAGCCACTATTAATGTAAATACTTAAGTCGTACTTTCACATTCTTCATGTGTCATTTCATTGAACTGCTGGGGGCCTGATGGTATGTACAAAACCTACGCCAGGGCCGGGCGACACAAAAGAACTTGCATAGAAAGCAAGTTTTTTTCTTAAAGATGGCTAAATTTAGTCTACTTTCATATGGTGTTTTTAGATCAGTTGTAGTTCACTATTTTAATAAAATCTTAAAAAAAAGGTGTCTGTTTCAAATATTCAGTATTTTTTGCGCACCTGGACCAATATATCCTGAGATGAAGTAAATTAAATTATTTGGTGTTAAAGATGCATATATATATATATATATATATATATATATATATATATATATATATATATTAAATGAGTGC